AGTTTAGTTTATGTTATTCTACAAAAAAATATTGTTATACAACGTCAGATTAAAAGTGATCGTGACGAGGTCTTATGAACTTAAAAGAATAAATAATCGACTGCACGATTGGCGCAGTGCCTGGGCAACTGGCTCCCGCGCAACGTGAAGCGGGTTCGATTCCCGCACGGAGCAACTCTTTGTGTGATCCACAAATTGTTGTTTCGGGTCTGGGTGTCATGTGTATGTAAACTTGTATGTTTGTAAACGCACCCACGACGTAGGAGAAAATCCTAGTGCGGGATATTACTATAACAAAAATAAAAACGGAAAAAGAAAAATAATTCTATTTCTGAGGTCATTCTGAGATCTTTATTTCTTTAAATATCCAACTACATAGTTGTTGAAATACCTAAAAGGAAAATTCTATCTGTAACGAAAGATAAATTAGTAGAACTTAAACTAACCAACTTGACAAAAGTTATAATTCTTATTAATTAAATTAAATTAAATAATGGATACTTTAGTAGATCCGTATTTTAATTTAACGTCTTTAATATGGTTAAAATCTTCAATCAAAGAATAAAACAATTCGCACCAATTTATCTGTTGGCGGATTTTTTATTCACAACAGAACTCACCCGGTTGGGAGAAGACATTGGATGAATTTCCGTCTCAAAAAAAAAACATAAGATAAACCGCAAATCCAAAAGTTACCAATATTTCAAGCCTAAAGAAGTAAGCAGAGCTTTTGTATGAACATCTTTAGCCCTTCCATACATGTCATCATCATCATCCACAGCCTATAAATGCTTACTGCTGAGCAAAGCCTCTTCTCACACGGAGAAGGTTTGAGGATTAATCACCACGCTTGTTCAATGCGGGTTGGTGATTACAAACTTATAATTAGAAATTATAAGCCACAGGTTTCCTCACGATGTTTTCCTTCACCGTTTGTCAGTGGTGTCTGAATAATCTTCGAAAGTACATATAACTCGGAAAAAGTCACATTGGTACTTGCCGTTGGTAGGTTGCGAACCGGCACCCTCATGCATGAGCAGCGGGCACGACATCCATCCATCCATTCCATACATGTACGAGATCCTAAATATATTTTTAAAGTACCTAACCATAAACTATAAGGTGTTAGTCTAATAATGAATGGAGTATGGAGTGTTTATGTGTTATTTTTATCCCAACTTAATACCGTAGATACCAACTATTTCCAGATACTGCCAGTTTGTAACGTAAACAGTTTACACTTGCTCTGTTGTAGAGGTAAGAAGGGAAGTAAATTGTTGAAAATGTATGAAATACAGAAGATAATGTTCTTATACTGTTTTTGGAATTGGGTCATATTTTGTGGTCATTAAACCTACCTGGGTTTGATCTACAGGCCAAGTTATATATAAATATAAACTTCACGCCTTTTATCCCCAAAAGGGCAGCCAGAGGTGCACTTTTCGGCACTTAATCGACTGTATAATGTTTTTTTCACTATTCACTATTTTATGTTATAAGTCCCATGCAATAGGGGGTGAGTCTATTGCCATATACCGGGCACATTTCCAGACTCCGTGTTAATACTGAGATTTTTTTTAAAACCCAGTAATACTTTGCCCAACCTGGGAATCGAACCCGAGAACCCTTACCTACCAGACAGTCGCACTTGCGACCACTCGGCCAATGAGGTAGTCATAGTATACATTATACAACTTTTTTATTGTGTTTATATAATTACCTAATTATTGCTTCAATGATACCGTGATTTTGAATGGAATAAAACATGGGCTACTCTCACGGGAACGCATGCGAAGCTACAGCGGAAACTAGTTGTCAATATTTTTTGTAAACAAAAAACTAAAGCAACTAGTGAATGCATCAATGTATAATCTTTTCAGGTATAAACAAACGATGGTCATAAATGATAAATTAATCACTACAAATGAATTGTACCTATACCTACAAGTAACTACGAAAGGACTGATTCTAATTGGATAATTGTTTCTTCTTGTAGTTGTTACCTATATAAAAATTGGAAATCCCACTGGGATTTCTGGGAAGAAATATCTCCTGAGCGAAGCTCGAGCCATTAGATAAAGTACAATAAAGATATTTATCCCAAAAACACAAGGTGACATTAAATCTAGATATTTCTAAGAATTTACATCTCAGACTACGACTAGGTGTAATAGAATTTTTCCAGTAAAAACAAAGCGTAGGAAGATAAATAAATATTAGCAATGCACGTACACAGACAGCTCGCTGGCAGTATAAATAACATTATGATGTAGTTTTACGTAAACGGATGCTGCATTTTATACCTATGCGATTCGATCAAAAATAAATTTTCCTGCATCTTTAGTATAAATAAAAAAACCCAAACGAAAATTTCTATCGACGCTGTCTTCGCGCAAAACTCAACTATCTTACTCAACTATCGTATCGAGTTCATACCGACTTAAATTTTATTTCAGCGGAACACGTAAAAACAAACATACAGCCATATTGTAACAAAAGTTATTCCAGCCGCCACTTAAATGTTCCCATAAAAGAAAATTCCTTCGTCCCGACACAAATCCGATTTCGTAACGAATCGATTAGAGAAACTAATAGAATCGATTGCCAAACTTCCTATGGAATGCTAAACATCTTTCTTTTGTTAAAATTATTGTAACGAAAATTCAGCTCGTGGAAGAACAAGCTCACGACTATATTTATCAGGAAAGTAAATCTGCCATTTGTACATTCATTTTACTTAGTTTCATTAATTTCAGAACCCTATAGGGTAGTACACTATTAACATAAAACTATAACATCAAGATTACACTTCTACTAATATCAAATTCAAAAATATCAAACTTGTATCCGATCGACTTTCAAATCCAGGAGCTCAATAATACAGCAGTTCAAAGACTGAAGGGTACGTTGATTACTATATTGAATAAATAAAGTGGCCAATAATGTTAATTGAAATGCCATCGTTATTGCCCCTCGGCTGAGCGACCGTGATTGAACAATTTAATTGACGGTGATTGATAATTTAGATACAAGATTATTACACAACTCTCACTGTTGACGTCAATGAACTTTCTTTATTAAACATTTATTTAAAGAGCTCACAGTTGCTATGCAAAATATCCAACACAATAGAACCGACTCAATTGTCCAACAAAGAAAATGCGATTCTAGAAGAAAATAATTGTTACTTGTAATTGCAGTGCATTGCAGAATAAATTGAAGCAATAAAATACTTTAACAGTATTATGCGAAACGAAAGGATTCAATTAAGTAAATAAGTTTAGCCTTAACATACACATTGGAATAGAGACTACGAGACTTTACATTTTACTAAACACGAAAATTCGAACATAATGAAAATCGATACACGAACAATTTACCCGAGTAGGTACTCGTAAATCGAGCGTAGATTTATTTCTGTAAACTCATGTTCCAACTGATAATAAATGTATTATGAATGTCGTAACAAAGTTTAATGTAATGTTTCGTCTCTGTAACTCTGTGCTAAGTTTTAATGTGTTCATATTTACAAGCAGTGCAAATAACAAGGTATGCGTTAGCGACTTTGAGTCACCAAAGGCCATTTAGCACAGATTTAGACGATCCAAATATTTTCACGGACGACGCTCTGGCCACACTCGGTAAGCAAATTATTTTCGTCTGATATAGCGAAATTGTACGACACAGATATTTGTTGGAACGTTATAGCTCGCACAACTTATTGCAGCACTTGCATTAAGACCAAGATTATGGAATACTTGACGTAATTTCCATATCATTTATGTTTATACCAATCTTTAGAGATAAGCTGATAAGACAGTATTATGATTGCTTGCAACAAACATATTTATCGATTAATTACACACAAACGATATTATATTTGGTCCCGATCTAATTATCGTTGTGATTGTGTGCATACGTGATAACTGATAACAGTTATCAAATGACCGCAGTCCGCAGTGGCGCAGACTCAGAACAGCTGTCTATCACCTGTTCAGCTTTTGTTAGAGAACCATGAAATTGTACATTCTGCTATCTCGATCTGTCGAACTTTAATAGATATTCAACCTTATCATTGTGCATTACTGTTGAAATTGTGTTTGTTGCTGCTTCAACAACAATGCGATACAAGAACAATGTCATGAACGTACATAACAGAAATCAGGAATAATGTGTAATTTGTATCTGCGTCAGACCTATATACCGGGCGAGTCAGACCAAGGCATTATGGGGATCGTAAAACGAAAATACTGGAGTAATTTGAAACAGATCCAAAATGAAATTCATTCATGCTCTCATTAAATATTATTGGGTTTAGAGACCTAGCAATCAAGTAGAGTAAAATAAATTGAGTGTGTGAATAAAATATGCTAATTATTTCATGTAGGTCAAATTACAAGCATATTTTATTACGTTTCTAAGTGCGATGTGTGCGTATGCAGGGGCCACATGGTCATGTTTCTAACATAAAATATGTGATAGATGTGTTTTTGAAATAAGAAGTAGTTTAAAATTCATTGGATACGTTTAAATTTATAACACAATACGCATACCCATGCGTTCGTAAAATGTTCTGACTCATTCCGAACATTTCCATTTAGCAAATGGAACATAATGATGCTTAATCTAAAAAGTGTAGAGGGCAAAATGTTTGACACGTATAACATTATATAATATAATTTATTAATGTAAATGTAAACTTACCTGTTTCGTCTACTATGATGTAATTATAAATGACGCTAAATTGTCCAGTAATTACGTATATTAATGATAGGGCTACAATAAATAATTTGTTACAATTTTGGTTTAACATTACATGCAATGCTACACACAACAATACACACTAAAGCATTCGAATTATTTAGGGCATCAGTCACAATGTTAGGTTAGTCGTCATTTGTTTCGCAACAAACGTAAAAAGTATTTGCCAACGGCTATCACGATTATAATCACTGCACACATAATCACAAGATGCGGGGATGCTGGTCCAGGGGACTCACCAGCGCTGCTCGTGCTCTTTTCAGTGTCTTTAGCCGTAAACCGCACAAACTCTTGCAGATGGCTCGGTAACTTTTTAACGTCCTTCTCTTCACCACCTTCGATCACTTTAATTTTATGTTCTATCACTTTAGGCTCTTTATACACGTTATTAGATTCTCGTTCGTCTTCAGTTTCGGGGTCTTTAATACCTAGCTTATCCCACCGTTCCCTAGCTTTAGAAATGAACTCTTTTTCGATTCTATTGTTGACTTTAGCATCAAGAATATCGAGAGCTGGCATACTTTTTGAAATTGTTATATGATTAGTAGAAGATGGAGTTGGATTGGTAATTTTAATGACTTTATGTTGCCGCCTTTCCTCACGTTCTGCCATTTGCGATACGTATTCTGAGTACATTTTTTCACGAAGTAGTTCTTCCTGGCTACTACTAAATACTGAAGACAACTTTCCTTTCTTTGGTTCAGACCCATGAGATGTCATAACTACATCTTTTTTACGAGATATAGAATAGTTATTTGAATCTTTTATTCTTTCATCAATTACTTCCTTTTCAGATATCAGAGGTGCTCTGGGCCCAGATTGTTTTTGCATCTGTGGAATATTACTTTTTAAAGCTTCGAGACGTTGTATTTCGGCTTCTACTTCCTTTTCTTTTTTACGGATGTATTCCATTTGTTGTTCACATAAATCTTTCGGGAGTGAAGGTCTTCTCGGACATTTATAGTCGTTCATCTCGTCTCTTTTGTCGGTAAAGAAACGATGCATATTTTGTATTGAAGAGACGTCACTCTCAATTTCTTTATTAAGGTTTCCAGTAGAGTAATGGAAGAACTTTCTTTCACTCTTCATTGAGCGCATGGAGCTATCAGTAAAATCAGAACTTTCATCACTTTCATAAAATGATGATGAGTACTTTTTAGGTCGTGGTGGTGGAATTGGCTTGAATGAGAAGTCTCTGTTTGCAAATCTATCATGATTACTTTTCATGAATGTCGTAGTAGTACGTTTCATTTGAATATCATCTGTACTGCTGTTTAATCTTTGGTTTAGAGAGTTGATATTATTCGTGAGAGTAGGATCGCGAATCAAAGCCAGCAAACGGCTTCCAGTTTGAGATTTAAATGGTATAATTGGTGTATTATCGGTATCACTTTCTTCTCTCTCCTTGTCACTTTTGTAATGTTCATTATAGCCACGACGATCTACAAATTTTCTATGCATATCAACAAGATGGCTTGCTTCATCTTTTGTTATCACAGTATTCGTTTTTTCCATTAACATTTTTTGTGAAGGGGACAGACAAACGTATACAGGTTCAGTTTTTGTAGGTACACCAGTCCAGTGTTCTTCTTCTTGTGACGTTTTCCTTAGTGAAGACCGTCGAGGTTTAACAGGTGGAGGTACGGAATCTTTTGTTTTAACTGGTATAGTTATCGTGTCAATTGATGAAACGTCAGGTAACCGATAATGTGGCATCTTGTCGGTGTCTGGTTTTTTGTCTATTACTTTTGCTGTAGTTCCGTAAAGTGCAATATTCTGTAAACGTTCTGACACAGACGCTAATTCTTCAAGTATTTTCTTACCATAAGGCAATGTTGCTATGTTTCTGACACACAAATCTCTCAATTTTAACGGCTCTTTTGTGTCATCATCAGCTATGGTCTTATTTTGACGTGAGGCTCCTGTAACACATTCAAATACATCTTTGACATGACTGGTAGTGGCAGACAATTGTTCTGAGTTTGTCTTGTTATTCATAGTAGTTTCATCATGCGTCATGCTAACAATGTCATTTAGGGAAGAGTAATTAGGGTTATATTTTGCCGTGCATTGAGAGGAGTCCACACTGCTTGAGGAATCCTGTCGGGAAAATGTTTCTTTTGCATTTTCATTTGTATCCTCCGATTCAGAAACAACTTCCTTAATCAAGTTATTTATAGCATCATTAAATTCGCATTTTATGAGTTTTGATTCTAACTCGTATTTGTTTTGCGTTGCGTGCTTTTTGTTGTCATTTTCATTTATAGGTTCTTCGATATCTTTGACGTATAAGTTAGTTTTAATATTATCCGTTGACAAAACTACGATTTCATGGGAATTTTGACTAGAAATATGTTCTACGATATTTTTACTTTCTTCAGAACAATTTTCACTTTGTGTACGTAAGGTGCGATGCTTGTCTGCTTTATTACTGGTATTAATTTGATCGTCATTTTTCTTGGCATTTTGTTCCAAGGCTACTTTTATTATATGTTCATTAGGTTTTGTGTCATCACAAACAAGACTTTGAGAGTTTTCCTTTATTTCTTTATCATAAGTAACTTCTACGACCCTTTCGGTACCCATGTTTTCGGGAACAATTTTTTCTGTGTTTATACTTTGGTCATTTTCTACCTGCACCTTTATTATACGCTCAGTATCTGTATTTTTCTTTTCTGTTTTATCACTGACCTTTTCATTACTCATAACTTGAATGGGTATTTCTGTTGTTTTCTCGGGATTAGTAAATATATGTTGCTTATTGTCAGTGTTTGAAATAAATGTTTTTTTAAGGAAGTTTTCAGTGTCGGTGACTTCTATCGTTGGTGTAATCATACGTACTGACACATCTGTATCGACACCATCATCTTCATCGCCGATTTCGTGAAGCGAACTTGTACTACTGGATGTATCTGTTAAGTAAACAACCTCAGCACCAGTCATTTTCTCAACAGTTTTCATAGTCCAATCACCTCTGGCTTCACTTACTTCGGGTTCTTTAATTTTAGCACCTACTAAGAGACACTCTTGAGGTACTAGCTTTCCAAAAGATTTCTTGTGAACGGCAGTGGACATCATTTTTTTCTGTTTAGTTAATTTGCTGTTATTATCTTCAAATACGTCGTCTTCCAGGTCCTCAACATCACTCTTTTTGTCACTGAGATAAGATTGGCGTCTTGAAGTCATAGATGATCCACTACTACCTTCTTCATCAATGACGTCCAACATTCTTGGAGGTCCCAACCTGTGTAGGAAAAAGTCATCAGCCATTGCTTTTTTGCGTAACCTGTGTTTAATTTCTTGATTTATTATTTCTTCAATTTCAGTTTTTATTTCTATAGAATTTACACCACCTGGTTGAGTTGCTAAGTTAAGAGTATTCAAATAACTTCTTAAAGACTTTTCTTCATCAGGTGTCAAAGATTTCGTTTGTTCACATTGCGCCACAGTGAGAGGGATCGAGGTAATTGATAAAGTACCCGTAACAAGTTCTTGTGGTTGTTTTACATCAACTTCATTAAGTTCTGCAGCATTCTCCCACTCCACATCGGAGTCAACATGGGTCACTATGACATTTTGAGTTTCTATTAAAGCCAAAGCATTTTCATTTGAGGGCTCAACTGCAACATCCTCGGTGATATCGATAATTTTTGTAGCTTCATCATCATCTAAACTTTTACTTTTGCTTGATAATTTGACTTTACTTTTACTTTGACGAGATTGGCCAGGAGCTTCTACGACGTAAGCTGTAGCGTCTACAGCATCAACAGTAACGCATTTGTCCGTTGGTGAGGTCGGCACATTTTCAATGATTTGATCGCTGTTGTTATTTAAATCACCATTCAAATTAACTACATTACTTGAGGTACTACCTGTTGCATTTTCATTTTCAATCGAGGGTTGTATAATTTCCTGTTCAATTTCTTTTGAATCAACAGACTCATTTTCAACTAAATCTTCTTTGCTATCGGTTTTACTATTACACGATTCACCACTGTCCAATTTCTTTTCATCACTATTATTTTTAATCACTTCTGGCTTATTGTTTTTATTTTTATTACGTTTGTTTTTATTATTTTTACGGCGCTTCGGTCTCTCAGGCATGTTTAAAAATCGCTACACTGTTATCACTAGCACAACATAATCTTTATCACACAACACACACGATCCATTCACAGACGGCTCCACGCGTCTCGCGACACCGGTATCTATTGCGTAGGAGTGACGATTCCGTCGATATTCGTCTAAACGTATTTTAGGGATTTCGCGTCGTTCGTATGTGAAACAAGGGCTCGGTGTAGAGCAACGTGAGATTCGGGTTCGAGGTTAACGAATGTGATTTTCTTTTCGGCGAGCGGTCGCCGGCCGCGGCAGTCATGCACTCGCACGGCGATTTACTGATAATTATAAATGGGTTGAAGTGCGAGAGCGCGGGCCGTGGACTTTATTTTTACGCGGAGACGTGTACGCTCGTGGTGCGCGCGCGACTCTACACAGCGAAGGGAGCCGGCTCGCCGCCGCCCGCTACCAATACTGTCCGACTGTATTATCATCGAGCGCACTTCAAAACGTATATTGCTAATTAATATTGCACACACGCATCTTACCATTTTAGGGAGGAATAACGGGGAAGGAACTCGAAAACACAATGGCTTCTATAACTTATTAGGATCGGATAGGACGCAAACATAATTCTAAGTTGAATTCATTAAGCAATAAAACTGTTTGGTGATTTTGGTTATTTGTTTGTGATGATTCAGTGTGTCGTGTTGTGGTTTTATTGCGCGGTTACTGAGTGCTATGTAGGTGCAGATGTCGAGAATAATATTTAACCAGATGCAGTCTTATTGTCCGTCGCTACAAATATCTATTAAAATTTATAACAAAAACAGATAGCGATTATTGGAATTGAAATGTACCTACAGTGTGGTAATAAAAGTATTTTTACCTATTACAAATCAGTTGGATGCATACAAAAACACCTACAACATAAAGAACTTTGTAAAAGCATTGTATCAAAGAGGAAATCACGACCTTCGCCTGTGTATTGTGTATTGTAACTGAAACCTTCATAAAGTACAGTTTACTATTTGATAAACTCTAATTGTAATGAAAAGTAATCGACGGTAAACATTTTATCTGTTTACCTCGAGATAACAGTGAATATCTTATAACTATAATTAATTTGATCAAATAAATAATTTTAAATGAATGTTAAAGTAGTTTAAAACAAATGAATAATCTTAGGAATGTTATCATTAAAGATAATTTATTTGACAATATTATCTTATCTTAGTAGTTCATTAGGCACAGAAAAATATGGTCTAAATATCGATAAACACAAATATACCCAATGTTAATAAGCAACTGGCATAGTTTATGAACAGCGCATCAAGCTATCCCACTATTAAACTGTCAAACACCAAGCGGTCACCGGTGACCGCAACCTATTGTTCTATAATTGTGTCTACAAAACCGGTACTCGACGAGTTAATGGTGAGATCAAATTTTCAAATGAATTTTCAACCTTATTATTTACACTTTTAGTATTCTATTTTCTATTAAGAAAAGCTTGATTTGCTGGCGTCTATACCTAATCTAACTGTAAAAACAATTTAGATAATTTCAACTCTTTTGACTTTGAAAATTGAACAAAGTCAATGGATTGCGACGCCGGTTTACGGAACAATTCCTGACTTATAATCTAGATAGAAAACGTAAAAGCTAATGACAAATGCAGTGATGTGCATCCTAGGAAAGTGTTCATTTTAAAAACAAATATAATGCAAAAGCAATAGAGTCTTTATTCCTAAAACCTATAAAGATAGTCTGTGTGAGACATCTGCATAGTAGAAAAAGAATCTTAATTTTTTTGGAGAAAATTTTGATATTGAAAAATCCATCAATCCAGTTAATTATGAAATCCAACATCAATAATGTAATGAAAACATATTTAATCAATATATCACATGCAGATAAGTGGTCATTGCTTTTATTAAAGTTTCCCATTCCATAAATTATTTTAATTTAAGGTAGTTTTATATTACAGTATTATATTGCACTCTATTACGTGCTATTACGTGCCACCTACGATAGCAAAATGTGGACATATTTAATGCGTATACATAACTACAAATAATATTAAAGTAAAAACTAAGAGTAACTCTGTCTGTATGTTTCACCTGCAGATCATTTTAAATTAAATAAATGATAGCTCAGAAGAACTTAGTGTGGAAAGTAAAGGATGCATTTTAACTTTTAAAATTCTGGCCTCTTATTGTTCGGCCTAACAGTTAGTGAAAAAATGGATACGCTTCGTTAGTCATAAGCGTGATAGGCGACCTTTTTAGAAACATAAAGATGAACTGACAAATTAAAAATAGACTAGCTTCCTTTAGGTTACCTAACTCCATCTTTGACTTTGTCTCCGTGACTTCGGAACAAGACTAGTTTCAAAGGTCAAGAGCTACAAACTCAAACAAAAAATACGCAATTTTATATCACAAAAGACTTCCTACACAAACATTTTCTAGGAAAACAAACTGATAGTCATAGTTTTAAGTAAATAGAATTTAAAACGGGGAAAGCCACAAACGTCAACTAGTATAATAAAAAATCTGTGTACATAACAACATAATTTAAGTCAAGACGGGATATTGCGCGTTAGGTAATAGGTTAGGTAGCCTAGCCTGGATCTAGACTATCTAGACTTGCAGGTCACATGGACTGATTGACCACTTCCACTAGCGCAACGTTATTACAGCCAATCAACGTGCACTATCTACGTATAGGGGTACGTATAGACAGTTTTTCCTGAGCCAACGAATGGAATGATCGAGAAAGTAACAAGAAGTGAACTTAAAGTTACAATTATAGTATTTGTTTCTTATTTTTCTTCGAAAATGAACCAATTCATGTGGATCATCAGATTTTGTATTTACTTATTTATTTAAAACCTTACCTACAACTATAATTACTGTTATCTATCTTGCGATAGTTTTTAAATCATTTGTAATGTCGCATATGTTCTTTATGATTATAGGCCTCTAGTGTAGATAAAACTGATCGAGTCAACAATAAAACCTTAAAACCAAAACATGAAAAATATTACAACACGCAACGTATATTAATAAAAAAAAAATATAAACAGAACAAACTATATATATATAGGTACAGGAGACATAACATTTTCTCATACGATAAACTGAGAGAATCCTACGAGACACCGTATAGAAAACGCAATGGCTTGCAAAATATACTTGGAAAATAAAAGACAATGCTTAGGAGCAGAGAATACTTCAGTGATAGTAAGGTGGAGATAACGAGATGGTTTCCAGTGCTTGTTGTGTACAACTGAGAGTGTCTTCTCTATACTATGTAGATAGAGTTTTCTACATATTATATTGTACAGTATTGTCCAAGTCTTAGTATACGTTTATATGTCTATTGTTTGCCAAGTATTACGCTGAATCTCCTTGCTGAGTCTAATAGTCACTTGTTGCTAATTATGGTATGAGTACGATGTTATACGAAACGTTTTTATTATACCTATTTATTATTATTGTTATAATTGAACACGTGGAATACTAGAACTATAGGTAAGTAGACGACTATTGTTAGAATGATGTTTAATAAAGATATTAAGATGAAGAACATTTTGTACTAATCATATAAAACTGTGTTGATTATAATTCTTATTAAACACAGAATTCCATTAAATGAAGGCTTCATTAATTTAAGAGCCTAATAATAGCTTTTCTATTGATATCATCATCAGTAGATATTAACTCGCAATATGAATCATAACCACTAATTATGCTGTTTATTCAAATAACACTGACGCTACAAATTATACATCGGAACATCTTTTTCTCGCAAAATAAATACAACCTTGGTAGTAGGTACTCTCTTTTGTTTATTAACATGTTCAAGGAAAAACGAGTAAAATCTCGTGTCATTTTCAATTAAAACATCCTTCTAACCGAAGAAAATAAAACCCTGCACTTTAAAAAGGTTTGAAAGACCTTCGAAAATAAAATAAAAATATGCGACTTGTCCTTTCCTGGGACAAAAATAAATCATTATATATCTACAGACATCACATTAACATATACCAAAACATAAAATTTCATTGATAGATTTTCCATCATACTCATTTGCAATAGAGTGGAAAATCGATTGACAATGTAGGATAGTTTAATTTGCTGCCGTCTTTACATATATGCAATGTAATATAATAACTACATAAGTAAATAACACGTAAATAGATGACGTAAGCATTTACTTTAATCGATGACGAGACACAAGAGATGGTGGAATAAGATGCTGGTTACCTTATTTGAGTGCACTTTATGATCACTATGCAAAATAAACATGTGGTTGTTTGTTTATATTTGTAGTGATCATGTTTGATCATGTCATGGCCGTAACCTTTTAATTTTTGCAATATTTTGGAGTCAAATATCTGATTACGCAATCCGCCATTTATAAGTATCTACTCGGTGCCTTTAGCCAAAGGCCACTTTAGCGCTTGTCTACAGAGAGAGTAGGAAACTGAATGTATGGAGTTGACAATTACAAGTGTCAAAATTTACGTCAATTCCATATAATTTGGTTTTCTATTCTAAATGTAAACAAGCGCTAAATGGCATTTGGCTACAGCTGCTGATTTTATTGTTAGTTAGGTAGATGCAAAACCTGTATATATTTCCGATACTTTGAAGATTATGGGAAACTAGTTTTGTAGAGCTCGATATTATTATGTAATCTGTACGAACTAACTGAAGAGATGCAAATACAGCTGGACATCTAATTATTGGGTTTTTATCATTTATTGGTTAGACTGCCTCATTGGCCGAGTGGTCGCAAGTGCGATCGCCGGACAAGGGGTCTTGGGTTCGATTCCCTGGTCGGGCAAGGTATCTGTGTTTTTCAGTAGTAGCACGGAGTCTGGAAATGTGCCCGGTATATGGCGATAAGCTCACCCCATGTTACATGGGACTCATAACATAAATAGTGAAAAGTGTACAGTGGCATTAAGTGGCGTAATGTGCACCTCTGTCTAGCCCTTGGGGGATAAAAGGCGGGATGTTATAGTTTTTCGGGTTTTTCCTGTAAGCAGTACATTTCTGTTTTACCAGAAGTACGGCATTTTTTAAATATCTTTTGATTATATCACACACTAGACATAAAATTTCAGTAATTCATTAAAATGAATTTGAACCTAGTCACATTATAATCTAATAAAATCTATGAAAATTCTTTTAAAATAGTTTTGCTGCATAATATATTTATTGTTGCAATTTTCAATGACTTACTAAGAATTGGCATAAGTTTTAAAAAGTTAGAAACTGCAAAGTTCCTTGATATTTCATCATAAAATATATATATATTGGTACAACATCATTACCTAGGTAATTTTCCCAAAATAGCACCCAACTATGCCACTGAGTCGTGTCTTTCGATCTCAAATCGCCTAACACCCGCGGTGAGGTAATATCCAATAATAGCTT